AATAATAAAAATTTCACATATTTTACCTTTATTCTACACCGCTTTTTCTGTTCTCCTAAAACGGTCTGTTGACTTCCTGGTTCTATGAAGCCCCTCCCTCAGAAATACTCAATGGGCTCAGATTGGTTAGTTGGCCCAGTGTGTTGTGATTCGCTAACCACCTAGTGCACGTTGTACAGAAACGTCACGCCCCGTACCATAACGGGGAGTTGCATGTGCTCCGGGGGATTGTCAACAATGGTGTCAATATTACCTTATCAATATGAGCCCGAATCAGACCCAAAGCTTCATACATGCACAAAATATCCATGCTTTTCATATAATCGTTCTAACAAATGATACTACAGTCCTGGCAGGGATTTTTTGATTACAGACTGTGGATCTACAGTGATCGCCACTGACTGTATAGCACCATTAGTTTTGTCTTGTGTAGCCAAATATCTGTCACCAGAACTAGGAGCCCATTACAAAGACTAACCATGGCATTGGATGAGCCTATCAGGCTAGATGAAATAATTACTTGTATTGGCCTCTTGCGGTGTAACAAGGCTCCAGGGCCCGATGGTTTCCCTTTAGACTTTTATATAAGAACTTCTCTACACAAGTAGCCCCCTTACTGTTCGATATGTTTAATGAGTCATTTCAACAAGGCTTTCTTCCAGTCTCGTTAAATCAAGCATCAATCTCCCTTCTCTTAAAAAAAAAAACAAAGACCCCACTTTATGTAGTAGTTACAGGCCCATTAGTTTATTGAATGCTGATATAAAAATGTTAGCAAAGGTGTTGGCAAGGCGCATGGATTCATGTCTGCCTGATATCATATCTGATGACCAAACTGGGTTTATTAGGGGACATCAGATGTCATCTAATATTCGACGTTTGCTAAATATAATTTTTTACCCATTTACTTCAGTTGCTCCTGAAATGATTATATCCCTCGACGCTAAAAAAGCATTTGACCACGTAGAATGGAATTATTTCTTTAATGTTTTAGGAAAATTTGGCTTCGGGCACAATTTGATTTCATGGATTCGTCTTTTATACTCTGCTCCCTCCGCAAGTATTAAAACTAATTTTGACAGTTCTTCTTTCTTTTCTCTTTCTCGGGGGACAAGGCAGGGATGCCCTCTGTCCCCTCTTCTTTTTGCTTTAGCAATTGAGCCACTTTCTGCTGCCTTAAAATCTTCCTCATTAATATCCGGCATCCGCAGGGGAGGCGCTGAACATTGAGTCTCTTTATACGCAGGCGATTTGTTGCTATATCTTCAGGATCCTGTAGGCTGTGCTGATGAGGTTATGCGCCTGCTTGACACCTTTGGCTCTTTTTCTGCTTACAAATTGAATTTTACAAAAAGTGAATGTTTCCCCTTAAATGACGCAGCTAGGAAAATACCTAAAAGTGCCCTACCCTTTTTTTCTACTGGGTTTCGTTATTTAGGGGTAAATATTTATCATTCTTTTAGTTCTATATTTAAGAATAATTTCACCAATTTGGTTGAACAAATTAAACTTGATTTAAAACGTTGGGACAGCCTACCTCTCTCTCTGGTAGGGAGAGTGGAGACTATTAAAATTAATGTTCTTCCACGTCTTTTATTCCTCTTTCAATCCCTCTCTATTTTTCTATTTGTTTGAACAAATTAAACTTGATTTAAAACGTTGGGACAGCCTACCTCTCTGTCTGGTAGGGAGAGTGGAGACTATTAAAATTAATGTTCTTCCACGTCTTTTATTCCTCTTTCAATCTCTCTCTATTTTTGTACCTAAATCTTTTTTAAACTGTCTTGATAAAACAATTTCCTCTTTTATTTGGGCATGTAAGATTCCCAATGTAAGATAAGTTATTCTTCAGCGCCGTAAATGTGATGGTGGTTTAGCCCTGCCAAATTTTCTATTTTATTACTGGTCCGCTAATATTTCCAAGATTTCATTATGGTCCAGAGTCTAACTGGTGTACACTAGAAGCTGCTACTTGTACCTCTTCTTCCCTTCCAGCATTAGTCTTTGCTCCTTTGTCTCTCCAACCTTCTAGCTATACAAGAAATCCCATTCTGCTGTCAATTTCGAAAACATTTTCAGTTAGAATCGCTTTCTGTTTCCAGCCCTATTTGCAAAAATCACTTGTTTTTGCCGTCTATGATTGATCACACTTTTAAATGATGGAGTGATAAAGGCATTGTTCATTTCTCAGATCTTTTCATTGATAATGTTTTTGCTATTTTCAACTACCTTTTATCCAAATATAATTTACATACTACAGACTTATTCAGGTATTTCCAGCTTCGTAATTTTGTAAGAACTAATTTCTCTAGTTTCCCCCGATTGCACAGATGTCTCTTATCAGATGCTCCTTTTCTCCAGCTGACCATGTTCATACATTTTTCAGTTGCCCTAAATTGGCCTCATACTGGGCTTTCTTTTTTGATTTTCTTTCAAGGGCTTTACATATTTCTCTCCCTCCATGTCCTATGGTTGCTATCTTTGGTGAAAATCAAAAAAGGAAGCCCAGTATGAGGCCAATTTAGGGCAACTGAAAAATGTATGAACATGGTCAGCTGGAGAAAAGGAGCATCTGATACAAGAGTCATATGTTTCTGGGAACAATTTATGGAGTCTAGTTTTGGTAAAGTGGGTTTGGTGCAAAACTTTTAACTGAATCAGACTTAACCGGGCACAAGCAGAAGTAGAATTAACTCTAACAAGAGCCTCAGACCAGAGCTCTTCAGAAAAGCTGAGCTCTAACTCTTTCTCCCATGCTGACTTCAAACATAAGAGAGATGAAGATCTAGATGAAAGCAACATGAGATAGATAGAAGAGATAAGGTTAATATCTATAGGGGCTGACAATAAACTCTCAAGCAGGGATTTTTCTGGCAATCGGGGGAAACTAGAGAAATTAGTTCTTACAAAATTACGAAGCTGGAAATACCTGAATAAGTCTGTAGTATGTAAATTATATTTGGATATAAGGTAGTTGAAAATAGCAAAAACATTATCAATGAAAAGATCTGAGAAATGAACAATGCCTTTATCACTCCATCATTTAAAATGAAAGGATAAAGATAAACGAAAGTCCTGGACCAGATTTACACAGATTTTTTAACATGTCTCTTAAAATGCAAATTGTCCCAGAAATCTGGAAACATGCTATAGTGGTTCCTGTAGCAAATGCAGGAATCCAAAGGTCTTAAATGATTTTTGACTAGTAGCCCTCACTTCTCTGGTGATGAAAAATGGTGAGAATGGAGATATTAAAGCATGTAGAAGATAAGTTTCAGTTAAGATAAGATCCATTTCAGTTTGCATATAGGGCAAGGAGGGGTGGTGAAGATGCCGTAACAACACTTGTGCACTTAGTAGCTCAACATTTGGAGACCCCACAACAAGGGCATGGCTGGCTTTTATTGACTTTTCATCTGCATTTAACTCAATTAGGCCACATGTGTTAGCCAAAAAGCTTGTCAATCTATTTAATTATTGAACAGGACTGTGTTTGAAGCCAAAGGCTTGCTGTCTTTTAAGTTATGTTCTTCTATAGCAGTGGTTGCCAACCCGTCGATCGGGATCGACTGGTAGATCTTTATCAATGTCCCAGTAGCTCCCGAATATAACAGAAAATAATTACAAAAATACATTACATTTCTCCAGTCTTTGTACTGCATTTTTTGTACTTATTTTTCTGTTATTTTTGCGACCTACTGGAAAAGCTCTTGCAATCACATGTGAAATATGTGAAACACATGTGAAACTCATGTGAAACACACAAAACTCACATAAAACATGGTTTTGGAACATTTTCATGGTGTAAATGTGTGAAACCCATGTGATCATGTTTCCTTATGTGTTTCACGTGTGTTTCACATGTGTTCCATATAATTCAAATGTGATTTTAACATGTGATTGCACATGTGAAGTTCATGTGGTTTTTGATTATACGTGACAGTAAAGAAAGACATTTATAAGACAATATGTAATCACATGTGGAAACGTCATCAGATCACATTGGTTTCACACATTTACACTATGAACATTTTCCAAAACCACGTTTCATGTGAGTATCATATGTGTTTCACATGAGTTTTTCACATATTTCAAATGTGATTTTAACATGTGATTGCACATGTGAAGTTCATGTGCTTCTTCTGTAAGGTATAAAAAAATATACTGTACATCATGCCTGAGTCTGTAAACAGGATGTTAAAAGAGGCCAGAGACGCTGAAGACAGATGCAAAGAGGAGAAAATACTGTAGCAGACAGAGCAAACTCACTGTTCACAATGCTCGAAATATAGAAAGAAAATATAAATTTGAACATATCACTGAAGGGGACTGACTGTCTTCAGAAAAGTTTTGATGGCAATGCCAAAGCAGTATTAGTAAAGTAGTATTTATAAGCGCAGCGCTGCTTTGTTTACAGCGGTAACCAAGGAAATGCTGTATTCCTAAAAACTGCCCATACTAAATGTGTGATATCTTTCTTTGGATCTTGATTAAACTTTAAGGCTAGTTTGACTTGTAATAAAGGAAATAAATAATGGTCACACTTTAGTTTGGGGACCAATTCTCAACTATTAACTATGACTTTTGCCTCAATAAACTCCTAATTTGCTGCTTATTAATAGTAAGGTAGTTGTCAAGTGTAGGTATGAGGTAGGATATAGGGATCTAAAATATGGTCATGCAGAATAAGGAAATAAGCAACTAGTTAATAGTTATTGTTGGTCCCCAAAGTGTTACCTAAACAACAAATAAATTTGTTTAAAGTTTACTTAAAATCATAAACCAGTATTGGAATCGGCCCATTTGTTTTTAAAATAGTGGAAACAGCCATGAAAAATCATGATCAGTGCATCCCTACTCTCTTTATCTATGTTTTTCAGTGTTGTTTGTGTCTTTTTTTTCAGAGGCGGACAGTAGTGAAGTATTTTTACTCTACTGTAAAAGTACTTTTCAGGTGTCTACTTTATCAGAGTATTTTTCTTTAGAAAACTTTACTTCACAACATTCAAAAGCATAATATTGTACTTTTTACTGCACTACGTTTCATATTAAATATAATTTAATACTTAATTAC